TTCCCCCTCCTCCTCCCCCTCCTCCCTCCTCCCTCCTCCCCTCCCTCCCCTCCTCCCTCCTTCCTCCTCCCCTCCCTCCTCCCCTTCCTCCTCACCCCCTTTCCCTCCCTCTCTCACCATCTCCCTCTTGCCCTCTCTGCTCTGGGGGAGGATTAGTGACCCGCTAAGGTTTCTGGCCTCCGCCTCTCCCTGGCCTGCCCGTGCTCCCTCGCCCGGCCCAGCAATACCTCGCCTCGCCCGCATGGCTGACCCGTGGCTGCTTCCGCACGGCCGCCACCCGGCTCTGCTGCCCGGCGCGGCCCGGCACACCGGCAGACCCTGCGGGCCATGGCCAGCCGCCTGCGGCATGCCCCTCCCGGGCTGGGCTCAGAGGAGGCAGGTGGCCCCCGAGGGCCAAAAAGCCAGGCCACGAACTTGTCTGAGGCCTGACAGGGTGTGGGTGGGCAGGGCAGGGGGTGAGGACGCCAGAACCTAGAATCGTGGGGTGGGGTGTGCGGAGCCAAGCGGGGGGCATCTCAGGCGAGGGGGGCCCTCCGGCCGAGAGGCCGCCTCAGACCGCGGCTCGCACACTCATGGCCTGTGCCCTGGGCTGGAGGGTGACACGCGCCCCCCAAGGAAGGGCCGCGCCCGCCGCCCCGGCAGTGGTGCTCGCAGCTGTGCGCCTCCCCGTGGACACCGCCCCCAGCCTCTCCCCGTGGCGCACCCCGCGGGCTCTCCATTTTGCTGATGAGGAAACTGAGGCACCGAGTCTGTGGTCCCCACCGGGTAGGAGGGAGAGGGAGGCTCAGACCCCGGGGACAAGCCTGGGCCGCCCCGCCCGGAGGACCCGCCCAGCCCCTGCGCCCGGGCACGGTGACCCGCAGTGAGTGTGCGTGATGCACGCGCCGCCGCTGCGTGGCGAAGCCCTGATGTGTGCAAATCCCCAGTTAAGGGCTGATCTCGCCCGTCATGAATCTCAGATCACACCCCGGGCGGGGTCCATCCCTCCCCCCCAGGGGCGCCCACCCGCTTGGCACCGCGAGGCCGGGCCGGGGCGGTGGGCTCCACATCCCGGGGTCCACGCCCCAGCCCAGCCAGCGCCCAGGCCCGCGCGGGTTTGTGGACTGAATGAGCGACGAGGACTCAGGACGGGCTGAGGCAGAGCAGCGCTTGGGGCGGGGCTCCCCGGCCTGGCCAGCCGGGAGGGGGCGGCGGGAGAAGCAGGAGCTCCTGGGCTGGACCCGCCTGACCCAGCTGGTACCCTCTCCGGGACTCGGTTTCCCCGTGTGCCCGGTGGGGGGCCGGCACGTGGGCTCCTGCGCTGGCTCCTGTGGGGCCCGGGGCCCGGAGGCGAGGGGTCAGGGCGAGGCCTGGCTCGGGGGCACCCAGGCCCAGGCGCGCTCACGCCGCAGTCTCCAGCCCCTCTTGCCCGTCCTCGGGTCCTCGGGGACGCTCCACCAGGCAGGGCCCAGGCGGAAGGGGCCCCGGGCCTCCAGGGGCACTCGGGGCTCTGTGGCTGAGCCCCCATCTGTCTCCCCGGCTGTAGAAGAGGGATGCCGTGAGGAAGGGCGGGGTACTTGGCCGAGGGAGGTGCAGTTCCTGAGCTGGCACGGCGGGGAAGGGGCCCCTCAAAGGGGTGGCAGAGCTGGGGCACTGCGTGCGGGGGTAACCCAAGAGTACTCAGCACCCCGGGAGTTCAGGGCCCAGTCCTGCTCCCTCCCTGCCCTGGGGACCCACTGAGGCCCGGCAGAGCCTGGCAGGGCAGCCTCCACTTCTGCTCCCCTCCTTGGGAGGCCGCCGCATCCCTCTGGCCTGCCGTCCCCCAGGCCCCGCGCAGCTTCTCTCAGTCCTCGCCGCTCCTCTGAAGCCAACTCGGAGGCCCAGAGAGGCTCAGCACAGCCACCAGCTTGCTGCCGGGAGCTGGGGCAGGAAGAGGAAGCCCAGAGGGGGCACGTGGAGAGCCAGGCCCATAGGACAGGGGAAGGGGGGTAGGCCACGCCCCGCGGGCAGGGGGGGCCTGGCGTCCTGGGCAGGGACACCCTGCCCCGCTCTCCCGCCCCGTCCTCCTGGACGTCCTGTAAATAAAGAATCCGCCCTGCCTCAGCCCTGCCGGCTTGTTTGTTTGGCGCGAGGAACGCTCCCCGCCGAGACGCATTTATTGCTGAATAAATTTAAATCTCTAATCTCCCCTTCCTGAATATTACAGCACCCTAAAGAGTGGCCAACACCTCCTCTGGGCGAGGCACAGGGCCCCCCAGGAGCGGGCCCCTTCCACCCCTGCCGGCCCTGCCCGGGGCCTGGCTCGGCGGCTGCCCTCTCCCGGCCCACCCTGGCCAGACGCCGGCACCGGGCGGCCCCCAGGCAGGCGCGACTGGGCTTCTCCGGAGGACGGAGGACGCCCCCGCGGCAGGACAGGACGCAGGACCCCTGCCCTGGCTCAAGGCTGGAGCAGAGGCCGTGGGCTGGGGGAACGCGGGGCGTCCGGACAGCAGCCTCCAAGGAGCTCAGGGGGCGCTGGAAGAGACCAGGGCGGTAGGACGGGAGAGGGGGGTCTCCAAGGTGGCCTTGAGGGACGCAGGGGGTGGCCAGCCCGGGGGGGGGGCAGGAAAGCTGCCTCATTCACGCAGCAAGCAGCGGCCCCCAAGCCCCTCTGTTGGGCGGGGACGTCTGATTTGGGGAGAGCCCAGGCTGCAGGGACAGGCAGGGGGGACGGCAGGTAGCTCAGGTGAGGCGCCAAGGCCCGGGGAGGGGGGGAGGGGAGGAGCGGCAGCGACAGGCCCTGGGGTCCCGGCCTGGGAACCCCCGTGCGGCTGTGTGACCCGGCGTCTCCCACCCTGTCCGCGCCTCCATTTCTTCTCTGAGGCAGGAAAGATGACACCCGGCCTGGGGGGGGCGGGCCTGGGCGGCTGAAGTGCGGGGCCTGGCGAGGTGCCTGCGAGGGGGCACCAGGGCCGAGGGGGCAGCAGGGCCGAGGCGAGGCCGCCGTGCGGGGCCAGGTGGAGGCACTTAAGGGCGGAGGCGAGTGGGCTGGGCCTGTGGAGACACCTGAGGCGCCTCCCGGCAGAGCCGGTTTTCTGCTGATGCGGGGTGGGGGGGGTTAGGTTTGTTTGCTGCGAACTGGGGGGCCGGCAGCCTGGGCCAGGGCTGTGCGCTTTTCCCGGCTGCCCAGGCTGAGGAGGGCAGGGCGGGCAGGGACCTCCCCCAGGATGGAACCCCAGGAAGGTTTTGGGTCTCCCGGGCTCGGCTGAGCGCAAGGTAAGAGCCGAGGGGTCCCGTGGGGAGACTGGGGAAGGGGGGCCCTCTGGGTCTCTAAGGGACAGCAGTGCTGGGGGGCTCCTGGGGCTCAGGGTGAAAGAGCAACAAGGCCGGGCGTGGGCCTGGGGGCAGGGCGGGCAGCAGCGGCCCAGGCTGCCGACACCCCAGCGGCAGGGCCAGTCTGTGCTTTGGCTTGTTGAAGTGGGGGTGGCAGCCAGGACCCCCCCACCTCGTCTCTGCTGCAGAGAAAACGCTCCCCTGAGTGACCCCTGCAGCAGCCGCTGCCCCCCACCCGGGCCACCTGTTCTGGGCCCAGCCCAGAGCCTCTGCCGGTGCCAGTTCCTCCCTCCCCGCGCCGGTGCCCCCAGGTCAGCCCCAAGGCCTGGCCGCCGGCCTGGCCGCTTGGGCAGGAAATAGTCCTGGACCAGCTCTCGGGGCTCCGCTTCCGCTGGCCACACGCCGGCCAAGGTCCCCGCGGGGCCAGCGCGGCGGGCGGGGCGGGCAGCCAGGGCCAAGCGCTAAGGCCTCTGGGGCTGGGCAGGGACCCCCGAGGGCCGCCTTCACCCCCGGCGTCCTGCACTTCGCCTTCCACATCGCCCCGGCCTGTGGCCACGCAGACATTGGCTTCCAGTGGCCCTGCCCGCCGGGGGCCGCTGTCACCCCATTTTCCAGGCGGGCGCTAGCGGTCACGGGCTGCGCGGCCGTGGGACGGGCAGATTGAACCCAGCTGCCCAGCTCCGGGCCTGCCTCCTGCCCCAGGCGCCCCCACCTGACGCGCTGCCCGGCTCCCTCCTCCTCCCAGGGCAGCTGCCCGGTCCGTCCCGGTGCGGGAGAGGAGGGGCCCGGGCCCCCAACTGCTCCACCCCGCGCGCCGCGCCCCGGGATGCTCCGGGCAACCGCCTGGTGCCAGCTGTGAACACGGTCGCAAAATGATCTTTAATTGGGCCCCTCCGGGCACAAAAAAGAAAGAGGGGGGTCCAGCTGGCGTCCCTGGACCCGCGCCCAGGGGCTGGGGGGCTGGGGCGAGGGGAAGGGCCTCGGCTTGCGCATCTGTGAAGTGGGGGCCGCGGTGGGTTCCTGCCGCTGGCGCCTGAGGGGCTCCTGGGCGGAGCTGGGGTGTCGCCAGGGGCGGACCACGTTCCCCCGGCCCGGAGGGGAAAGGACGGGCGGGGGGAGCGCCCAGACCCGAGCGCGGGCGCCGGCCCCGCCGTCTCTCCCCGGGCGCCGGGCGCGGGCGGCGTCTCCCGCCTCCCGAGCTGTTTATCTGGGCCCGGGTCCCCAGGGCCGCCGGGGGGTCCCCAGGGCCGCCCTCGGATCAACACGCCCGGGCCCGGCCCCAATTAAGCCGGATGCGCTAACGAGGCGCGCGAGACGCTCGCTAACGAGCCGGGGCGCCCCGAGACGCCCGCGCGGCCCCGCCGCCGCCCGCACCCCGCCCCGCCCGGCCCCGCCCCCCGGGCCTCGGCTTCCCCGGCCGCGGAACGGGCGCGCGCCGCGGGTCGGGTCGGGTCGGGTCGGGCCGCGGCGGGGTGCGCCCTGCAGGCCGGCACCGGGCCCCGCGGGCGGAGGCGCGCCAGGGCCTGAGCCCCGCGGGCGGGCAGCTCCTCGCGGCTCGGCCGGCGGCCCCGCCAGGAGCAGGGCGGGCGGAGGGCGCCCCCTGCCGGCCGCGGCTCCCCCGGGGCCCCCGGACGCCGCAACGCGGTCTCCCCGGGCGGGGAGGGGGGCGCGGGGCCGCGAGCCGTCGTGACGCGCCCCGCTCCCCGCAGTGGACGGCTGCATCCACCGCGCCGCGGGGCCGCTGCTCACCGACGAGTGCCGGACCCTGCAGAGCTGCGAGACCGGCAAGGCCAAGATCACGGGCGGCTACCGGCTGCCGGCCAAGTGTGAGCCCCGGCCCGGGCTGCGGGGAGCTGGGGCGGGGGCGGCCCCGGGAGCCGCTGGAGGCCGCCCGGGCGGTCCTTTCGGAGCCGAGACGCGGCGCGCGCGGTGTGCGGGCCCGGCGGGGCGGGGGCTGAGGGCGGGGCGCGCCCCGGAGTGTGGCCTGGCGTGGGGGGCCCTTTCCTGCACCGCGGGGGGGGGGGGCGGGGGGCGGCGCCGGAGCCCCAGCCGGACGGCCACGCGCCCCGCAGACGTCATCCACACGGTGGGGCCCATCGCGCACGGGGAGCCCAGCGCCGGCCAGGCCGCCGAGCTCCGCAGCTGCTACCTGAGCAGCCTGGACCTGCTGCTGGAGCACCGGCTCCGCTCGGCGGTGAGCGCGGCGGCGGGGGGGGGGGGGGGGGGGGGGGCGCAGAGGGACTGCGCCTCCAAGCCCGTCTCCCCTTTCCCCCAGGCGTTCCCCTGCATCTCCACCGGAGTGTTCGGTGAGTGGGGCTGGGGGCGGGGCCGGGCGAGGGGCGGGGCCACGGCCGGCGCTCACGCCCCCCCTCCCCCAGGTTACCCCAACGAGGCGGCGGCCGAGGTGGTGCTGGCGTCGCTGCGCGAGTGGCTGGAGCAGCACAAGGACAAGGTGAGGCCCGGGCCCGGCCTGTCTCGGGTGCCGCGCGCGCGCCCTGCTTCCCTGGCCTCTTCCTGCGCTCGGGACGCCAGGCCTGCGGCCGGTGTGGAGAAGGGGCGCCTGGTGGACTCGGGGTCCGTGGGTGCCCCAAGGGCCGAGCAGGTGAAATCCTGCAGCCGGGCAGTGCTAGGGCCAGAAAGCCGGGCATCACCCGGCGGCCACGCCCAGGCTGAGCAGGCCCTGGTGCAGGTGGATCGTCTGGTCATCTGCGTGTTCCTGGAGAAGGATGAGGGCATCTACCTGCAGCGCCTGCCCCACTACTTCCCCCCGGGTAGGTACCGAGTGTCTCACCGCCAGCCCTGCCCCTGCCCTGCCCCGCCCCACCCCGGCGGGCTCTCACTGTCCTCTGCCTTCCAGCCTGACGGCACCCCACCGCCCACCCTGGCCGGGACTGGTAAGCAGGGCCTGGCCCACCATGTGGCTGCCCACTAACCCGCCCCCCTAACACGCCTGCTCACCCTCGCCCAGTGCTCACCCTCACCCTGGGAGGCCAGGGCCGCAGGCTGGGGTTTGGTGGAAGCCCACAGCCCCCTCCCAACTCTCCGCTCTGCCTTCAGACTCGCCTGGGCCTGCCGGACCTCGCTCCCAGCTCTAAAGGGTCCCGAAGCCTGCAGCCTGGCCTGGGCCTGGCCACCCCCTTCCTTCCCGTGGCCCCCCGCCCTCAGGAGCCTCCTAATAAAGACCATCTTTGTTGCAGTGCCTGGTGTCCGAGCCCTGGCTGGGGGTACGGGAGGAACCCAGAGGTGGGCACAGCTTCAGGTGAGCCGGGCGGGTGGAGGCACAGGCCAGACGGCAGAGGTGGGCAGCACTTCACATTTATTGAGGGCCTGCCCCCAAGGAGCTCACAGCCTGGGGGCTGAGACCCCACATGTGCTGAGGGAAAAAAAAAAGGTGAAGGCAACGCAGAGACCCCGTGGCCCAAGCAAAGGGGGTGCAAAGCAGGCACAGGCAGGGGACTTGGGGTGGTACAAGGAGGAACGGGGGCCGGCACGCCCTGCCTAGACCTGGGCGCCCAGCACGGGCATGGCAGCCATCCCTCCCCACCAGGCTGGTGGCACCTGAGCGTGCACTGGGGGCACCCCAGCTTCTCTACCAGTCCGGACCGTTACATTGGCCCTCCCTACCCAGGGAGACGCCTGACGCCGGCAGGAAGCTGGGGCCGGGGAGCCTGGCCAGGGCAGGAGGGTGGGGGCAGGGCCTGGAGGGAGCAGCTGTAAACCTGGGTGGTCCAGGTCCCGGGCAAGTCCTCCGGGAACGTCCAAGTTCCCATGGAAGCCTCTGGACCAGCTAAGGCGGGAAGAGGATAGAAGCAGAACCCCACTAACCAGGAGGGCTCCCCAGAGACCTGGTTCCCTCAAAACCTCCTGGTGGGGAGGTCGGGTGGCCGGCAGGAGGCCTGGAGGAACCCACCTGGGAGGGGCGGGGCAGCCAGACACGGAGCAGCCAGGCGGGCAGCGGCAGAGCAGGGACACGCACACACGCGCTCACACCAGCATCCCCTTTAATAAAACGTGGAAGGTGTGTGGCAGGGAGGGCAGTGAGATATGACCATTTACAACCACGAAGACCTCTGTACATGTCGAGCGCCTGGCGGAGGGGCGGGCCGGGCGGGCCGGGCCGGGCCGGGCCGGGCGGCCCTACTTGTAGAGGATGTCGTAGTGTCCGGGCCGGTAGAGGAGGTACACCTTGGGCTCCGAGCCCTCGGGGAAGACGTGCGGGTTGGTGGTGCCGCCCTCGCCGCGGTCCATGTACTCCACCTGGATGGACACGCTGAGGGCCTGCGCCAGCGCGATGATGTGGATGTGGTCGCTCTCCTTGCACATGGGCTCCACCTCCTGCGGCACAGGGGCGTCAGGGCCCGCCCCCCGCCCCCGCCACGGCCCGCGCCCCCCCAGCCCAGCGCTCCCCACGCGGCGAGAGGAAAGGGAGGGCACCTGCTGGCAGAACTCCTTCACCGTCCGCCCCCTCGATGAAGTGCTCGAAGAACTTGCTCTCGCGCTGCAGGTAGCCGGACGTGAGCAGCCGCAGGTAGACCACCAGGTAGTCGGAGGTGCTCTGCTCGTTGAACGCGGCCAGCAGGTCCGCCACCGAGCTCTGCTTCTCCACCTGCTCGATCAGGTCCATGAACTGCGCCCGCAAGCAACAGAGGGCGGGATGAGCGAGGGGGGGTGAGCCCCGCCGCGGCCGGCGGACCCCCTCCTCCGCGGCGAGCCGGCGGCGGCAGGGACGCGCTCACCGTGTTGTGGAAGTCCTCGATGGTGAACTCGGTGAAGCCCTGGGACACCAGGTCCTCTTTGCTCTTGGCAGACACAGCCTTGAACCTGCGCGGGAGGGAAGGGCAGGCCAGCATGGGCTCCTCGCCCCAGAGCAGCGCCTGAGGCCGGCCCCTCCCCCAGCTCAGGCCGCACTGCGAGGGGGCGGGGAGCCCACGAGCGCTAGCCGACCCCCTTCAGGGTGCAGGCACCCAGGGGCCCACCCTCCTCACCGCTGCAATTCCTTGCTGTCATCCAGCAGCGCCTCCAAGTGGGAGAAGCCGAAAGCTCGATAGAAGCAGTTCCCGTCAGGCCTGGTCTTGCGGATGTACGAGTACTTTTTGTGGAGGTCCTGGGGAGAGACCCCGGCCCAGCCCATCCACATCAGGCCAGAGGCAGGGTCAAGGAAACCCCGCGGAAAGGCCCCCCCGCAGCGGGTGGCAGCTGAACACCCAACAGTCACCTGTCACTCTGGCTGCCGCCCGGGGGATGGGAGTCATTTAGGGACCCACTGCCCAGAGTCCCCAAGGCGCCGGGAGCTGCTTATGTCCACACCAGTGGCCTGGATCACCCAGGAGTCACAGGCCACTGTCCAGGCCGCAGCGCTGGGCCCGGGGGCTGCTGGCTCATGAACACCGGCCCAGAGGCGGTCCCCGGCCAGCGCGGCTTTTCCAGGGCACGGTCTTCCAAGCTGACAGCTCTGGGGCAGACGAGTCAGGGTGAGGCACTGGGCCAGGTTCGGAGCCCCGCCGCGCAGCTCTGCGCGGGAACGCCATCCCGTCCGCTCACGCCTCTAGCCCGCCTTGCTCCCCAAACCCAATGGGGTACCTTCTTCTGGTGGAACTTTCCCACGCCGGCGAGCCCTCGGAGCCCCGGCTCCCTTGGCAATGCCCTTGCTCCTTTCTGAGAACCGGGCCCCGCCCCCGGCTCTGCCCCCCCCCCCAGCTGGCCCGGCTCCTGGGCGTCAAGGGCGTCTCCAGGGACGTCCCCCTCCCGCACCATCAGTTCTTCACTCCCGACAGGTTCAGGCCCATCAGCGCAGGAACAAGGCGTTTCCCTTGTCAAAGTCCTTTGCTTCACCTGGATTCCTCCCCGGCCAGCACCCGCGCTCCCGCCCGCTCTCCCTCCCGGCAAGCGCCAGTGCCAGCCTCCCCGCTCCCCGAGCAACCCAGGCCCCCAGGCAGGCGCTCACTGCAGGACACTGCAGGTCCCGGAGGGTCAGCCCACCCCTCCCCACTGGCCTCGCCTCCACACACTCCTTCCGGGCCGGCGGCGGCACTGCTTCTCCCCCCTCATGGCCGCGCTCGCTCCTCTCTAACCTGGGAAGGTCAGGGCCCCCCCAAACCACACGGTTCTTTCGGCAAGACACCGTCTCCCGCCAGGAGACGGCCAAGACACCCCGTGCCCACGCCTGCCATGCAGGCGGCACGACCCGGGACGGCGTCTGCCGGCCGCCCACCCTGGCCCTGACGTGGCCAGGCGTGGAGTGTAACTCGCCCAAGGGAAGGCTCAGCCCGCGTCTCGGCCCTCCACTCCTCCCCGGCCCACAGCCCCCTCCAGCCAGCCTCTCCTCGCAGCCCGCCGGCCCCACGGCAGCGCCTCTGCGCCATCCCCTCAGCCCACCGCCTCCTGCGGGTGTATGGCACAAGCCTCCTCGCCTCCCCACGTCCCGGGAAGCCAGAGGAACCTGCTAAACACTCATCTCCCTCCCGGGCCCTGCTCTGGCCACCAGCCTGGGCACCTCGCCCCGGCCTCTGCTCAAGTCACACAGTCCTGCCCCCTGCTTCGTGCAGTTTGCTGCCCCGCTGCCGCCCACTCCCCTCTTCCAGCTTTACTTTCTCCACAGCACTGACCTCCCCTCACCCGGGCATCTCAGCCACCCCCGGCTGCCTGTCTGTCCTCCACCATGACGTGCCGCTTCCCAAGGGCGGAGTCCGTCCCTCCACCCGCGCAACAGCGCTGGCTCCCCACGCATGCTCAGAGACGTGCACGGAGCAGCACATGTGTGTACAAGTCACCGCACCTTCCAAAAGAGCTACCAGAGCACCCTGAGCACCTAATCTGGGCCAGGCCCTCTATGGAGGCTACACCCATCTCCTAGTTGTCCTCGCAGGCGTCCACCACGGAGGAGCCGAGTCTACCCAGATAGCCTGGATCTGCCACCTGGGCCTGGGTATCCAATGGTCCCGTCACCTTGTCAGTGCCTACTGGATACTGTTCCCACACCCCCACGGTCACTTCAGGGCTCACAGAGAGAAAAGGGAAGGGACGTACCTCTGTAAGCAACACCGCAGGGTCTGGCGAAAGGTCTGCGCAGACCCCGAGAGACAAGTGGTGGGGACACCCTCTTTCCCCAGGGCTCTCCAGCGCCCTCAGCCCCACTAGAGCACTGAGACCATCAGCTCCTCGAGGGCCCGAGGCTCTACGTGCCGAAGCCCGACCCAGGGGCCAGCAGCCGTGGGGCAGAGGCAGGATGTGAATTGCTGTCTGATCCAGTCTGCACGCACGAGCACCTCAGCCCAAGGGCTCCCTGCACCCGATCCATGGGGAAGCCAGGCCCAGCAGGCAGCCGTGTGCAGCCACCCTCAGGCCCTCGCCCGGCTCCCACCTTGATCTTCTGTTGATAGATGTTGTCGTCCTCAGCATACTCCTTGTACAGGACTGAGAGCTCCAGCCGCTCCGAGACCAGAGGATTCTGCACAGCGATCTGCAGGGGCAAGAAAGCCATCATGCTCCGGCAGGTGGACGGAGTGACCCACACAGCCAGAACGCCCAAATGAGAGGTGCTGAGACAGTGACCCAGTGACCCCATAAAGACATCCAGTACCTAGCACAACCGGGAGAGGAGGGGGCTTCCAAAGTGGAGATAAACACTAGGCCTCAAGCCCAGCCTACACATCCCCACAACAGGCCACTGGCCATAGCCCCTCACCTCTTGCTGAATTCGGTCCTGCTGAGCCATGATGGCCTCATCATAGGCAAGACAGTTCACACCTGAAAGAAGCAGCCAAGAATCATCGCAGGCCCTTGCCCTCCATGCCAGGCAGTGGGGCTGAGGACATGAGCGGGTAGGGGCCGAGGCGTGGCTCTGGCACACACCCCTACGCCACCTGTGTAATCTCAGCCAAGTCCCTTCCCCTCCTGGGCCTTCGTTTCCTCATCTTTAAAACGAAGAGGTAGAGGTGATCACCCCCGAGATGTGCTCTTCAGTCCGAGTACCCTCTTCCCGCCCTGCTTTCCAGCATCACTTCCCAGCAGACTGGGAAAGCTCCCGGGCCTGGCAGGGTCTCCGGGGGAAAGTAAGATGAGACCTTCCTGTGAGCCCGCACTTCACTCTGTCACACCCTTCCTCCCTCAGCAAGTGCAGGTATTCGCAAGAATGCCCACTTCACAGGCAACAGCACCGCTGCGGCCAGGTGAAGTCATCTCCTCCAGGTCACGACTAGTCAAGACCTGTGGTCAAACCCAGGGTTGTCTAACTCCGAAGTGTGAGCTCTTCACCAGTCCCTCTCCTCTGCTCCCAGCCTCTCCTCAGCTGTGAAAAGGGGTACTGCCCCAGGGAGAAGTGGTTCCTCAGAGGCACACCTTAGCATGGGGGTGGGGGGCAGGCCCACCTGGGGAGCAGCCATCAGTGGAGGCACGGGCGGCTGGCTTATCCCATGTGATCCCACACAAGTCCCTTCTGGGGGCCTGGGTCTCCCAGGTCAGAAGGGCCCCTGAGTATGCTGGGCGACTTTTTAGGTCAGTTCCTTTGGGCCCCAGCATTCCGGATCCCCCGCCGGGCCTCACCACCCCTTCCCCGCCCCCTCACACTGCCCAGCAACAGGGCTGTGCCTCCCACCCAAGTGAGCTGCTCAGTCCCAGGGCCTAACTCATGGGTGAAAAAGGAGGGGGTGCGACCGTTTTGGAGGCCCAGCTCCTCCGAGGTCCAAGGAAACAATGCCGTGAAGGCGGCCCGGAAACCGGGGCTGCAGTCCTGCGGGGCGCACACCGGCGGCCTCTCCCTCGCCAGGGCCGCCCCAGCATCCCGAACGGCCCGCCCAGTCCTTTGTGCTCCGCGGCCCGGGCGTAACTCGACGCCCTCGGGGCGCGGGGCTGCCCTGGCGAGGGCGGGCGGCCGGCCCCGGCCTCGGCCCGACCGCAAGGACCCGGCCCGGGGCGCCCGGGACCCCCGGAGCCCCGCGCCCGGAGGAGGGGGCCAGGCGGGGGGCGGGGCGGCCCGGCCCCGCCCCGGGCGCGCGCGAGGGGGAAGGGCCGCAGGCCCGGGCCCGCCCCGCTCGCCCGCCGGCCCGCCGCCCCGCCGGGGGTCGCCGCGGCGGCTCCTGCCATTGTGAGGGGGAGGGAGGCGGCCGCGGCGCAGGGAGGGTCGCCCGCGCGCTTCGCCCCCCGCCGCCCGGGCCCCGCCCGGCCTCCCCGGGGCCGCGCGGGGCGGCATCGCTCCCCAGAGCCCCGTCTGGACGGCTCTCCCGCGGGCACTACCTTCGGAGTCGCTGCCCAGCGGCTCCTGCTTCTGCTGCTGAGGCTCCTCCGCCGCCATCTTTAAACAGCGCCGCACCGCCGAGCGCTTCCGGGTTACGCGCGCCCCCCGGAAGCGCCTCCCGCCTCCTCGGCCACGCCCCCGGCGGCGGATCCCCGCGGGCCCGGCCCCGCCGCCCGCCCGCCCGCGCCCCCCCGCGCCCCTCCGCGCGCGCGGGCTCGGCTCCACGCCCCCCCCGGCTCCCGCAGCTCCTGCTGGCGATCGGCGCCTCCGGGGGGCTCCGCGCTCTCCGCTGGCGCTGGCCAAGTGGGCGGCGAGGCTGAGGGCCGGCGAGGAGGAAGCTCGCGTCACGCAGGCGGCGTTGCTGCCGCGGCTCCGGGACGCACGCCGGGGCGGCCGGGGCCGGCAGCCGGCAGCCCCGCCCGGACATCACCCGGCCGGGAGCGGGGCCCGCCTGGCCCGGGAGACCGCGCGCTCCACGGGCTCCGCTGTCCCGCTTCCTGGCAGGGCGAACAAGCCCCTGGGGCCAAGGCTTAAGCCCCGGGTCTAACTTTGGACCCGCCCCCCCAGGGTGAGAGAAAAGCAAGGTCTTTTTAAAAACTAGGAGTTGCTAGAAAACAGGAGGGACTCCTGTAAGGATGGAAATGTGTCTTGCTGGCCAACATCCTGATGTGCGCTGCCCCACAGCTCTGCAAGATGCACATGTCACTAATGGGAAAAATGGATAAAGGGGCGGGTGGGGGGTCTGGGTAAATAAAATGGCGTGATTTTATCTTTAAAAGTTTATTTAAAAAGCAGCAAGGCCGGGCCTCCCTGATGGCGCAAGGGGTTAAGGCAACCTATGAAGCTGTCCGCAGCCACTGCAGCATGAGTTCCATCCCCGGCCAGGGAGCAGTCCACATGGCGCAGCAGACCTCTCCAGACTCGTCCTCTGCTCCCCTCAGCTGTGTATTTACGTGGATCTGCCAACTGTGTCTCTGGTGAATCCTCTCACCTCCCACACCTCTGGCCTGTACCCCATTCTTGTACGCATAAATGAATAAATCTTTAAAAAAAAAAAAAGCAGCAAGGTCTTGGATGCTGAAGATGCTGTCTCTTAGGTTAGTCTGGGGCTCGGTCCCCAGCTTTTCTCTCCTGATGGCCCTTCTCATGACATCACTGTGCCCTTTTTAGCACCAGAGGAGGCCATTGCCTGCTCTCAACCCACCCGCTGGGTTCCTCCAGCACAGGTTCAGGCTATGGCCAAATTTTGTCCTGAAACGGGTGCAGGTGGTGCCTGGGCTCGCCACACAGCCTGGGGTCTCACAGCAGCACCACAAATGTCAGATCTGTGTCCCAGCAGCAAAGCACAGACCTCTATTGGGTTGTTTCCAAACTCAGGAAAGCAAAGGGTCCACCCTATGTGGACCCCATGACTAACAAATTGTACATTCCTTTCCCCAGCTTTAACAATGCGATCTGCCAACTGCCAACCAGATCCTCAGCAGGAGGAAGGGTGATTGGCAAATGAAGGGCTGAGACAGTTCATGACAAAAACACAGCTTCTGTTTGGCTTTTCAGAATCTTAAAAAAGGCCTCTTGGACCACTCCCCCTGCGTCAGCTAGGGAGCCCAAGAGGGGCTGGAAGAAGCTGGGCCGCAGCTGCCCTGGAGATGAGAAGGAATCCTAGTTGGGGTCCTGTACTGGCCCAAAGCCAGAAGGCCCACCGGGAGGAAATGAGAGCCGCCCACGCAGGGGTCTGGGCTGAGGAACGGACAGCACCCTCCATGTACAACGGGCCTGTAAGGAGGGTCCTCGCTCCATGCCGTCTTCTCAGCCTTGTTCTGACCCCAGCCCGAGCTTGGCCATAGCCGACTTTCACCTGCTCTTTTCCACGCACATTATTTAATGATTACCCTCATCCCACCTCGCCTGTTAACTTCGGCCATTTCAAGGTTTTGCTCCCCTATCCTGAAGCATCTAAAAGCCACTCCACATTTGCTGAGAGTCAGCGATGGAGCTACAGATTTTATCTGTGCCCTCAATGCCACCCAAGAACTGGCCCAGAGCTGCAGCCCGGCTGCCTGAGGGCGGGGTGGAGAGCACTGGCGTCACGCAGCCCACCACTGCATTTTCCACAGCACGCACATGGCCCGGGCTCTTCACGGCCCTGCTGGCCAGGACACCACGCCCAGGTCCACAGGATTCCATTAGGGGGAGGCTGAGGGGGAATGCCCATAGCAGGACCCAGGGATTGCAGAGGTTCCAGGGGTCACCTGGCTTCCAAATACCACCTACCCATCTCTTGCAAATGACAGCCACAAGACAGTCGCCTTCTCACAGGAAGGGAAGGACTCGGACCCTTCCGGAGGCAGGCTTGGAAAGTCAGGCAGTTGCCCGCAGGAATCTCCAGAGTCCACATATAGCCGGTCCCCAAATTTTTGGTCCAGCAAAGCCTGGGCAGATACTTGCCTGCAGGGTCCAGGTCACCTGAGGCAGAAAGCAAGGGCTGGCCGCAGCAGCCAAAGAAGAGGACCTCCCTTCCCATAGGCTCGCTCTGCCGCTCTCCCCACGGGGGAACGGTCCTCTGCAGACACGGCACAGTCTAGTGTACGAGCACCCACAGCGCCAGGCCAGCCAAGCAGCAGGTGCCTCTTAGCTGCGGCAACATGGCCACAAACCCAATACCTAAAAACAGCATGGATTTCTAACTTGCCGGTCCTGAGGCCAGGAGTCAGGGGTGGGTTTTCCCCGGATAAAAACTAAGGTGTCTGCAGGCTGCTCACTTCCTCGGCTCTTGAGGGAATTTGCCTCCTACTCACGGGGGGAGGAGGGCAGATCTCAGGTCCTCGCTGCTGTAGGACCGTGTCCCTGGCTGGCTGTAAACCCAGGCTGAGTCCAGCTTCTAGAGACCAGTGAGTTGGCTTAGACCCACTTCCTCCGCCGTCAAGGCCAGCAATGGCAGCCCCATCTCTCTGGGGCGGCATCTCGGAGATGCACACCACCTGCCTTTCCAAAGACCCAGGATTGCACGGTCCTCCCACTGCGGGGTGCGTAGCCCTAACCCCCTCCGTGAGGCCCCTCTGCCATACACGGTAGTGTATTCACACGCTCCGGGAATCAGCAAGTGGACGTCTTTGGGAGCCGTTATCCTGCCTGCTACCTCATATTCATTCTACAACCAAATAAACTGAGGCTCAGAGAAGCTAGCCTAGCCCAAGGTCACACAGTGAATGGCCAAGTCCGGCCTCCTGACTCCCAGCCTTCAGCTGTGGACCACACAGCACCTGCCACGCCCGGGCTGTGCCTCCCCCCCTGCATGCAATCGGGTCAACCCCATTCCCTCCGGACTCAGAATCCCACAGGTCAGACACAGAACACTGTTCTGGAAGACAGGGAAACTTGTTTTTACTACAGGGAGGCGCTCGGGGTCCCTGATTTGCTTGGGGATGAGGGAGGAGCAGTGAACCATGACCAGATTTCTGGCCTTGTGGCCACACTGAGGATCCAGAGGATGGGGTTCAAGCACCACAGGTCACTGGCATGCCAGTGTTCCCTCAGGCCCCAGTAGGTTATGGGCGATGGGGCCAGGGTAGTCGGGGGCTTGCTAAGACCTTCTCGACAGGCCTGCCGGACCACTGGCTTCCAGTCCGAGTGGCATCTCAAAGAACACAGCTTTGGGCTGGCGTAATCCTCATGGCACTGGGGACCACGGTGTCCTTTGGATTCCAGGGGTACAGAAATAGGGTCCGCCCCTCAAACCCTTGGCAGGGCTCTATAATTGCCACAGAAACTCAAGTTAAGTTCCCCTCCCCTCTAGCAGAGCCCCAAGGACACGACTGCCCCATGTCCTCATCTGCGGCTCCGGAAGCCCCGAGCCAAGCAGGATCACGCGGCTCCACATCCTCTGCTGGTGAAGGGGAGGCTTGATCGGAGTGGCCCTGCTGCTCAGCTCCCTCACCCTGGGGGCTGAACATCACCCCACTCCCCAGAGAGCCAGGGACCCACCAGGCCCAGAGACAGGGGTGGGAGGAAGGACAGCAGGCACTCAGCTTCGGCCTCACCTGGGGGCTGATGGTAAAGCACCAGAAGTCTCCTACAGTGAGGGGTGGGTTGGAGACAACCCTGGTATACGGGAGGAAGCAGCTCCAAGCAAGACCCAAGTTGCTGCTGATGTCTCTGCAGGTGGTAGGTGGGCACCCACACCACCCCTCTCAAGCCAGCCTGAGTGCCATGTGGGCTCCCCCTTCCTTGGCCAAGATACCAAACCATATGCCTCTTAGTGTTCTAGGCCATCCCTCCAGCCCCAGACACAAAAATGACTTGTGCAAAAAAATACGATTTTCGGGCCTCCCCGGTGGTGCAGCGGTTGAGCGCTGGGTTGCGAAGCTGCCCGCGGCCTCTGCGGCGCCGGTTCGATCCCGGCTGCTCCCGGCCACCGGAGGAGGGTCCCACATGGCGCGCAGACCTCTCCTGCCGCCCGCTGCTCCCCTCAGCAGTGTACTTCGGTCCTTCTGCCTGCTCTGCTCCCCGCTCTGGCTCTGGTGAATTCTCTCACCCTCCCGCGCCTCTGACTGTACCCAGTGCTTGTATAAACAAAACAAACAACCAAACAAATAAAACATGCCTCTATAAAAAAAAAAAAATACGATTTTCTAGGAGTCAGGTGACTGACTCACTACCCTTCATGGAAACAGCCAAGGCAGGAGCTGTGCTCGTCACAGCATCCCGGTGCCAGGCCCACCTGCATCGCCAGCCACCACGCAAAAGGCCAGGAGTCTAGACAAAGGGTGGGCGGGCAATGCCCACATTCAGTTCGTCAACAGGAATCAGGAAACAAGAGCCTGTCAGGAGAGGGAGGGGCTGGGAGATGTGCCCCACACCAACCCCCAGCGCCACCCCCCAGCTCTCACCTGGCACCTCTGCCTGCTGTCCAGGCTCCCGCGTCCTTCCAGCCTCAGCGCCAGAGAACACTGAGCTGCGTCTGTCCAGAAACCATCCTCGTCACCCAGCAAAAGGGGATGCAAAGACAAGCTAAAGCCACGTCCTCTGGTGTGAAGCCAGCAGGTCTGAGCATTCCTTCCAGACACCGGCGCTCACACTCCAGCTCAGCACCGAATGC